TGAGCAAATAATCGAATTGACAAATTGATAAAAAATACACAAAAAACATGTAAAATGAATTTTAACTATAATAAATTTAAAAATAAATCACTTTCTAGCTCAAAAACGAGTCAAACCTGTTAAAAGTAACTTAGAACGACTATTTTTAGACTTATTTTACCAAAATTTCTCAAAGAAAAGTAAGTTTTTAACTCAAAAACGACCATTTTTGATCTATTTTGACATTTTTTTAATAGTAAATTTTTACATCAAAAACAAACGAAATCTTTCGGAATAATTCAGACCTAAAACGACAATTGTCTGATTTTTTTCATGCCGATTTCATTTGAGCTATTTTCTGTAAATTTCTGAGTCATAAACAAGCTAAATTTTCTTTTAGTTGAGGTTTTGATAAAAACAAGAAAATTTGAGCGAATAAGCGAGTGAGCGAATAAGCAAATTGACGAATTGATAAAAAAATAATAAAAAGTAAACAAGATAAGATATGTAAAATAAATTTTAACAATAGTAAAATAAAAAAAAGTAACTTTCTGGCTCAAAAACAAACCAAATTTGTTAGATTTAGCTATAAGAACGATGATTTTCAGGCTGCTTGTTTTACCAAATTTTTTTTAAGTAAGATCTAACGTGTTAAAACGACAATTTTTCGAGCTATTTTAACAAATTCTTTTTAAATAAGTATGTTTTTAAGTCAAAAACAAGCAAAAATTTCTTAATGAAAAGTATGTTTTTAACTTGAAAAGTATTAAAACGATCATTTTTGATCTATTTTGACATCTTTTTTTTAAATAAGTAAATTTCTAAGTCAAAAACAAAAAAAAAATCTTTCGGAATAATTCAATCCTGAAATAAAAATTGAGCACATTGATAAAAAAATAGACAATAGACGATTTTTAGGCTTGTTTTACAAAAACTTCTTAACAAAAAGTAAGTTGTTAGTGTTAAAACGACCATTTTTGGACTATTTTGACAAATTATTTTAAAATAAATCAATTTCTGGATCAAACACAAGCTAAATTTTTCTTTAGTTGAGGTCTTGATAAAAACAAGAAAATTTGATCAATGGTGGTCATAGATCTTTATTATTTTAGAAGAAATAATATTTAAAAAAATTTATCTATAAAAATTTCGAAGCTATGAGAGTTTTAATTTTGCACTTTAACTCTATTTATTTCTGATGGAAAAATAATTTTCCAAGTTTCTAAAGCTATTAGAAGAGGAAACAAGAAAGCTGTATTCTAAACTGTAATTCTGTTAAATGTTATTTGTGGCTTTTATTGTCAAAATTTTTGTACCTTTACTAAATATCTATACAACAATAAGATTATCACTATCATTAAATAGACACACATAAATGTCAAGTTATAGTGTTAAAACGACCATTTTTAGACTATTTTGACAAATTATTTTAAAATAAATCAATTTGTGGATCAAAAACAAGCTAAATTTTTCTTTAGTTGAGGTCTTGATAAAAACAAGAAAATTTGAGCGAATAAGCGAATGAGCGAACAAGCAGATTGAGTAAAAAATAAAAAATACACAAGATAAAAGTAAACAGATATAGGAAAACTAACTAATTTAGAGTTTTTTAGAAATCATCAATCTTTCAGTTGCGGTTTTTGAAAAATAAAAAAATAGTACACTTATTTGCATTGAAATCGATCTGAATTTCCTCTGGTTGTTTATGTGCGTGTGCAATGCGGGCCTAAAATAGTCCCCGAGTCACCGTGAAGAATGGCATTTCGATGGTCGGCATGGTCTGATCTATGGTGGTCATAGATCTTTATTATTTTAATTTCAGCACCACGCCTCTTGCTGTGCCGTAAACGCTGCGGATCGCTGCACTTTACAGATGACGGTATTTGTCATTTTTCCGTTGAGATTCCCCCGAGATAAATAAAAGTCCCAACGGCTCGACCATTAATTCACCGACGAGATATCTGATGATTCGAGACAAGACAAGAGGAGGATCTCGGTATTTTTAACAATTCCATTTTTATTCATCCCGTTCCCTATTAAATTCGCTCCACCAAGCATGAACGCACTTGCTTCTATATAAAATGGTGACATTAATTTTATGCGAGGCGCGATTTGTGTTATTTCACATTCAGATAATCGTTTGTATTAAAATTACGGAATGCTTATACAGAGCGTTTCAATACAGAATTTCCGCCATTAGTGTGAACAAATGTTCAAGAATCAAAACGTTATTTATGGCAGGAAATCGGTAAATATGCAAAGTAACACTTTCTGAAAAAAATTGATTAATTGTTCTTTGTTTCAAACCAAATTTATTGCTGAATTAATTTATGTCAGGTTTCATTGATCTACTTATTAGTAAAAGTAATTTTTTGTTACTGTGGTGATTAATTTAGACCAGATTGGAAACGTTAAACATTGTTTTATTTATAATTGTGAAAAAAGTTACATGAACTTTAGTTTTTAAAGTGGGCTGTGTGACAACATCGAAAACATTACTCAGAAATGCCAACTTTTAAAGTTTGAGACTTGCAGTGCCACCACTTGGCTTTCTGTGGTAAAAATTCACTGCAGAAAAGACACCTGTAAATCCGAGTTTGTAATAAAACAATGTTTAAAAACATGTTTTTTTTTATTTTTGACCACACAACTTCATTTTAATTTATAATCAATTAGGTAATAAAATAATCACTATATTAGTCTTTGAACCAAAATATGTTTAACTGGTTGCATATATTGGCGAGAGTAAAACTTGACCTTATCAAATACAGGCTGATCCAACTAAAATTTGTAGCTTTGCAGCCCCTAAAATCTCGAAGTCAAAAGTGGTTACGAAACAACAATTCAATTTAAGCAACCTACTGGTCAAAAAATTCTTAAAATAATACGTCACTCGTTAAAATTGACATCTTTAAGCATTTTTTCCAAATTTGGACGAAAATTTTAGTTGCGACATCGTGTATATGTATATAAGTAGTAAATTGTTGTCTAACTTTACTAAAAAAAATGTTTTGTTCTATAAATTTACTGTGTCATTATCATTAAATTAACGTAGATAACAAGAGATCAACAAACGAGTAACAAAATAATGAGGAATAAAATAAATTTATTTTAATATTTTTTTGATAAACCATTGTGGTCGAGACTTAACATTCTTCTCTAGGGTCCGAGTTTTAGAACATTCTGTGTTGTTGTTAGTTCAAATATTTTTTATTTACATTAAAAGAAATAAAGTTAAATTACCAATTCTAATTTACACGTTTTGGTTTTGATTTGAATATACTATTTGGTTGAGTTGAAAAAAAATAGTTTTAATTTTTATTCCTTTTTTTTTATTTGTGCATTTTTGTGATAAGAATCGTAGCCATATTTAATTTACGCTTATTATTCTTTTTTTTAAGCACTGCGAAGTTTGTTATATTTTAAACAGCAATAATGGACTCTCTCACACTATTCTGGTACGATTATTTAATCTTCATTTTAGTTCTATTTTTGAGCATTTTGATCGGCATTTATTTCGGATGTTTCGCCACAAACAACCAATCAGATCCTTCAGAATACCTGCAAGGTAAGAAACAAATGAACACTTTCCCTGTTGCCGTCTCACTAACTGCAAGGTAAAAATTTTGTAATAAAATTTCGAATCAATAAAAAAAATTTTAGTTCTACTTCCATTTCCATTCTTCTAAGTTTTTGTTCAGAAGCGTATAGTTTTGGTGCAAATACGTTTTTACTGATTATTAGCATGACGATAGCCTACTTTGCCAACAAATTTATCTACTTACCTGTGTTTTACAATCTTGAAATTGGCACAGTTTATGAATATTTGGAAAAAAGGTTTGACAAAAGAGCGAGGCAACTCGCATCGGGCATTTTTACAATTTGTAGCACCTGTTTTCTCTCAATGACGATTTATACCCCAGCTTTGACTTTATCTGCAGGTACAAGAAAGCAATTTTTTGACACATACTGTATTTTATTTCTAGTCACTGGATTTCAATTACAATACGTTATAGTTGGTGTCAGTTGTATTTGTGTTTTTTATACGAGTATTGGAGGTTTCAGGACCGTTATTTGGACAGATGTGTTGCAATTTTTTGTCGTTTTGGTCACTTTGATCATTATTCTAGCTTTAGCGATTGGATCAACTGGGGGTTTCACTGAAATTTGGGACAAAGCGATGGGAAGTGGCCGTTTGGACATTTTCGAGTCTGGTTTTGGAAAAATAAAATCCAAAAATTGACTCTTAAATTGCAGATTTGATCCAAATCCGACTCGACATAGCAGTGTTTGGATGATAATAATCGGTTATTCATGTACATTTATCACAATCACTTGTGTTGACCAAATTACCGTCCAAAAAATGCGATCAATTCGAACTATAGATGGAGCATCAAAAGCTATGATTTATTTCKTAATTGGYCACTATTTTYCTATAATTATTTGTGTTTTTCTTGGCTTGACTATGTATGCAAAATATTCGGATTGTGATCCAGTCAGTGCAAAATTTATCCAAAAACCGGACCAGTTATTACCTTACCTTGCCATGGATGTGGGTAACAAAATTCCCGGAGTTTCCGGAATTTTTGTAGCCGCAATTTTCAGCTCAAGTTTGAGGTAACTTTTTTCAGTTGAGTCACAATAACTGTAATTTATTTCAGTCTCCAATCAGCAATTTTGAATTGTTTGTCCGGTTCCATATATTCAGATTTCATGAAACCATTTCTAAGCAAATTTTCTGAAAGCAAAATTTTGAAATTGACAGTCGTCGGAATTGGTATTTTATGCACAGTTTTGGCTTTTGTAATGCCATACTTAGGAACGCTATTTAATATCATTTTTACGATAATAGGTGTGACTGGGGGCCCTATTTTAGGGATGTTCACTTGCGGACTTTTGATACCAAAAACTAACTCTAAAGTAAGTAGTTGTTTTTTTAAATCTTATTTAATTTTTTTTAACTAGGGAGCTTTTTATGGTACTCTCTTCGGATTTTTGATTTGTTTGTTTATTGCTGTCCCAGCGACTTATTACCAGGACCACAACGGTCAAGATCAGTATTTGAAACCCATTTCGACCATTTGTTTGAACCAAACTTTACGAAATGAGACTACAATGTTGGTACTTTTTTTATTATTTTTTTTAGTTACATAACTTGTTTTAGTGATAAATCGCCACCTCCCTGGTTGTTTCAAATTTCATACTTCTACTATTCGGTGATTGGTGTGATTGTCACAACAATCATGGCTTCTTTGATCAGTTGTTTGACCCAAAAATCAAATTTTCGAATCGACAAAAATTTAATTAGTCCAATCGCTCACTTTCTTCTTGTTGAAAAAAAAGCTGAAACTCGTAAATCGGTGCAATATTCGAGTGTGATAGATAATGAACCGCCTCCAAACTTGTTGAATTAGTTCTTTATTTGTGGCGTGTAGCTTTTATCACATTAGAGTCAAAATTGCCTTCGGTTTGACTTTGTTCAAAGTTTTTAAAAATAAATCCAAATTTTTTTTCTCAAATTTTAGGAGCTTTGTAGGATTTTAAATTTAATTATACAAAATATTTTCTTAAAGTACTTAATACTGTTTCAAAACTATGTCTTTTTTTTTGGTCATTAATAATAATTACTAATTTGAAATTATTTATTTTTATTTTTTTTAAGTTGTAGATTAGCGAAGTACCAAAAGCGATATTTTTTCATCGTACCCAGAACTAAATTTTTTAACCAAAAATTGTGTATTTGTCAAGTTTAGGAGCTTTCCAATCCTAGCATGTAATTTTTTGGAAATTTTTTTATTTGTAAGATTCAACCAAGATAATGATTGATGACATGTTAAAATCTTTTATCTCAGACTAAATGTTTTTACAAAATTAGATAAAATTACCTTCATTGGGAAATTTTACGAGTATGTTGTTTAAAAATTGTAAATTTTGTGTTTTTCTAAGATAAGTTTGTGTTTATGTTTTTAATTTTTTTGAAAAAAAAAATTAGTGTTTTTAACACGGTATATCTCAATAACTAAGAATTTTTTTCACTATTAGTTATTATTTGGCATAACCTACCATTCCCTAAGATTATGCGTATAAGTGAAGATTTACCCTGTATATCTTTAAGGTATTATGTTATTTGACCTAAATCTTTTCAAATTTAATTTATTTTTTACTAAGTTAATTTTCCATTCTGGAGTTTAATTTATGTTTGTGTTTTTAGAAAGGCTATTATTTTTTAGAATCATGTGATTGTTAATCATTTTGAATGCTGTAAATTTTATTGTATATTTTAGTTTGGAAATGTTACGCCTTCAGTTGAATATGTATTTGAATAAAGAAGAACTGCTTCTAAATAGTTAGAGTACTTTTTACTTTAAATCTACCCAGTTTAAATAGCCCCTGATTAAAAATTTTAACATTTTATTTTTGAATTCGTTTAGGTGTACATACCTATAAAGGTTTTCATCTGAACCAAATTTTGTAATTTTATATAAAATGTTTTTGGAAATATTGAAAAAAACAAAAAAAAACCTTCTTTGAAGAGGTAGCTCTTTTGTGAATCATTTTTCGATATATATTAATAAAAGACTTTTGTCTTAAAATTAAATATTCTATCTTCTATTTAAATTTGTAACAATAAAAACGTATTTTGGATTTAAATTTGGTAGTAGTGTTTAAATAGTTATTATTTTCTGAAAATTATTTAGAGTTATTAAAAAACTGAGAGGATGGGATGATAAAAATAAAGATAGGTTGGGCACTATAGAAAGACGAGTTTAATTTTGAATGCCACGCATGCATTTGTGATTCTTTACAAAGATGCCAAATTTTTACCCCACAAATCTTCGTTTCAGGTGAAGCAAAAAATGTTTTTCCTTTACAGCTTTGGCATAAAATGAAAGATAGTTTTTTTTCTCTACTTGTATACTCACACACTGTATATTTACTACTTATAATTATTTTTTGTGATAAGAATCGTAGCCATATTTAAGTTACGCTTATCATTAATTTATTTTAAGCACTGCAAAGTTTGCTATATTTTAGACAGCAATAATGGACTCTCTCACACTATTCTGGTACGATTATTTAATCTTTATTTTAGTTCTATTTTTGAGCATTTTGATCGGCATTTATTTTGGATGTTTTGCCACAAACAACCAATTAGACTTTTTGGAATATCTCCAAGGAAAGAAACAAATGCAAGTATTCCCAGTAGCAGTTTCACTAATTGCAAGGAAAATTTTTTTATAAAATTGAAGAAAATAAAATCAAATTTCAGTTTCACCTCCACTTCCGTTCTTCTAAGCTTTTGTTCAGAAGCGTACAGTTTTGGTGCAAACTCATTTTTTCTGATTTTTGGCCTAATTATAACCTACTATGCTAACAAATTTATTTACTTACGTGTATTTTACAATCTTGAAATTGACACAGTTTATGAATATTTGGAAAAAAGGTTTGATAAAAGAGCAAGGCAACTCGCATCGGGCATTTTTACAATTTCTAACATCTTTTTTCTGTCAATGACGATTTATACACCAGCTTTGGCCTTATCTGCAGGTACCAAAAGGCTATTTTTGGCACATACTGTATTTTATTTCTAGTCACTGGATTTCAATTGCAATACGTTATAGTTGGTGTCAGTGGTGTTTGTATTTTTTATACGAGT